AAAGAGAGAGAGAGTGAGAGAGAGAGAGAGAGAGAGAGAGAGAGAAAACACAATTATGCCCGTTCCAAGGCACTACTGTTTTTATTGAGAAGGGCAGAGAATACGAGCTTTCCAGTTCTTTTGCAGCGTGGACTGAAATTTGCCCCAATCAACCCTCAAACAACCGTCCTTCCCCTTCCTGCAAACATTTTCCGAAGTGTACCCGCCACTTCCCTCCCTCCTCGTCATTCCCTCTCTCTTTCTCACTCAATCGCTCACTCTCTCTCTCTCTCTCTCTCTCTCTCTCTCTCTCTCTCTGTCACTCTCGCGCGTACGTACATCCCTCACCCTGTTGTTAAGTATTAGAAGTAGCGAAAGACATGCGAGCGCGCGCGCGGTAGGTCGAGGGGGAAATCGTTCCAGGAGCGCGTGTGTGCACCGGCCAGGGCGCGAGATAAAGAGAGACAGATACACGGAGCGATAGAGAGAGAGATAGAGAGAAATCGATGAGGGTGCGTGTGCGTGCGGGTTTCGCGTGCGAGGCGTGTCGAGCCGCCACCGATGGGATCGAGATTCGGCGAGGAGAAACGTAGTCACGCAGGACGCACGCGACGATTGCGCTTGCACGTGTCAAAGGCGTCGGTGCATGTACGTACGTACGTAGGTTGGCAAAGCGCGGAATATCGCTTATAATCGTGCATTTGCCTAATCGTGTGAGTAGCGGTTAAATTTTGAATTTAATCGTTCGAAAGTTGCCGAGGAGGAGCGCACGACGACTTTGACGTGCGACTGTGTGCACATGCGTGCGTAGACGCGTGTATGTGGGGTGCAATCGGTGGCAAACGAGGCTGATACGCCGGCGAGTGATAAATCGAATTTATTTGTGTGACGGATCTTTGTTCTCTGCTGGAGTCAACGATAATACAGAATCTTATTGCGATGATAGGTAGTAGTAAATGTGGGTGCTGCGAATTATTTTAAAGTACATGGGTAAATAAAGTCTTAGAGCTGCACAGATCGTTACTTTCAAGGACTTGTACGTTGCGGAGGGTAATCATGGTTACAGGTAAAATTCTATTTGAGACAGTTCCTTGAATTAAATTTGGATAAGTTAGTTAACTATAAATAATTCGTTAGCAGGTGCACTAACTGTCCTCTTTTAAAAAATATCTGAAAAAACAAGTTTTAGATTTTCAAACTTGTTAAATCGTCAAATTTCAAAATGCTTGTACATAATTTCTTTTACAATCATTTTTTTATGTTTAAAACTGCATGCGTGGACGCGCGCGCGTCTCTCTCTCTCTCTCTCTCTCTCTCTCTCTCTCTCTCTCTCTCTCTGTATATGTGTGTGTACGTGCGCGCGGTGTGTGCACGCGCGCGCGTAAGTAAATTTAATTTTTTTTTATTTAATATCGGCGATTCCTTTACTTTTTTTTAATTTCTTAAAAATCTTAGTTTTTTTTTCATTTTTTTTTCTTTTAATACAACATCTCATAGTTCTATATAATTAGTTGCTTTTGTTGGTTAAGGTATTAACATTATATTTTTGTAACAATTGTCGACGATATAAGGAAGAATATAAGGAATTATTAAATTTATGGCTTATAAAATATTATTAATTTTGTAAATAAGAAAAATTTTATACGTGGCTACATTGATATATGAGTGGAACATTTCATAAATAAGATTCGATGACATTTAATTTCACAGTAAAATTTTTTTTATACAAAATATGAAATGGAAATGTATTTATCAATTTTCTTTTTAATTTTATTACTGAATTTTATAAATAAATGGTTAATTTTTGTTTCCAACTAGAAAAATATTTTATTTAATTGATGCCTTTTTAACTGTTATAAAAAATTTCATTATTTTGCGTTTAAATTTTAAATACATTTATATGCAATATAAAAATTATTTTGAGATATTATAATGATTAAATTATTAATATAAAATCAAAATAATAATTAATTATTTTAATAAAATGATTATTTTAATCTAATTAACAAATTTCTATCTTAATTAGACATTTTCTAATTAAGATATTGTATTGATAATAAAACTAACCCCATTTTATTTGGATTTAATATTTTATTTATTTCAACAATGTGATTATTTTACAATATGGTAGAATTCTAAATAAACTATTTCCATAAATTAATAATTGTGCATATATGTACAGATATTTATTATCTTTTAATTTCCCAAAGTTTTCACTGTCAACACTTTAACTATCAAACATGAAAAATAAAATCGTAAAAGATAATCGGAATATTACATTATCGGTAGCATAAAGTATAAAAGAAAAATAAAATGCTATCCAATGTACCGGCTCATTTCACTGTCACTATTGGTTGACTGACTATAAATGTTGTTAATATTGATTAATTTCTTCATTGTCAGAATTAGTTTTGTAAAAGAAAATAAATATTTGAAGAAAGATTTTTTCCTTTTAGCATATAAATAAGTAAAATATTCACTGGATAATGTGAGCTATTCCTTACCTCTACGTATACATATTTTATTCCACATCATATTTTCATTACGTTGATCCTATTTAATTCTTTTTTAAATGTATGGGAGAATTAATAAAAAATTTAATTCAATAATGATAGTATTATTAAAAGAAAACCGATTAAAAGTAAATAGTTTATATTATTTTCGAAAGTATATTCATTTATAGATAATAATTTTAACATATGTTTTCTAAATAGTTAGTAAGTACATTATGATTAATCGTTTCGTTGTCGATTTGTACTGCTATTCCTTAAGTAATCAGAAATATATACCCTATAAACAAGGACTAATGCAAAGACTAAATTAACAGCTGGCAATGAAAGTGAAAGAAATAGCATAGTGTAACACATTTAATAACTAATTGATTTTAACAGTTATGAGGGATGGATATAAAAAGCAAACAGTCGAAAACACAAAATAGTTTTATTATAAATTACGCGCCTAAGTTATTGTGAGGTAGATACTTCACAACAGGAAGCGATTTCTTTTAAGACTGTAAATCTGTACAATATAACAAACTTACATTTTAATTAAAAAATTCTTTCCAATCAATTTAACATTCTTAAATACAACTCTTATTTTTACTCGATAAATAATTTGAATACGAATTCATATTATTATCATCATAGAATTAAAAATTTGATTAATTTTACATACATTTGAAAAGGAATGTCTTTATTACTTTATATTAATAGAAATTAATATCGTTAAAAATTAATCAAATTATAAATTACTCGAGCAACGACACACAAAATGTAATACTTCATTCAAAGTAAGAGAATACTTTAATAAAGGCACATTTTAGTTATTTGTATTAAATGGGTAAAAAAAGTTTTACAACACTACAATGCCTTACAATATAAAATATTTATTTATAATAATTTAATTGAATTTTCTCGATCAAGATATGCAACGACGATATAATTTTAATTTCCATGGCTTCACCAGTTCCTTCCAATGTAGTCCTCCGCATGAGAATAATAAAAACGGTGTCTTTTTACGTAACTAAGGCAGACACGTAGTGCGGAAATTTGAGGTGAGGCTTAACTCACCCCCAGCACTACTAATCTTAAAAGTAGAAGTTTCGGTACCTACTATGTATTCTGAGAAAATTACAGAAGCGTTGTGAGAGTATGCGTGCGTTTCGATCTACTCAATTTATTTGATAGTTAGGAGGGTGAAGTTTAAAATTCATATTTGTATTTTATTAATAAAAATGACACTGTCCATAGGCAATTAATATTAGGAACTTTATGTATTATATTTAGAAGAATATACGTAGATTAATTTTTAACATTATTAAAGATTTTATTTCAATATTAATACAAATATATAAGTATATTACCATGTACTATGTATAA